CCCCCCCCCCCCGTGGTGTCTCGTCGTCGCTGGCGTTGGATGCCAAGAAGGCGACCCTGAGAATCATCGCCATCATGGAGAGCTTCGAAGGACGGCTGAACGATGTGATGAGCGATGCGAGAGCGAGGGCGGAGCTAGACGCGATCTTCCCGGGGATGCACGAGCGAGAGTTCCGTGCCTTGCTGGAGGAGTGCATTGAGCGCTCGCAGGTCAGCAAGAAGTGTTTTTTTTCATACGGTAAAAAAGAAGCCGTTTTTATTGCTTATTTGGTATCCGTTTTTGGAAATTCTCCTTCGTGGTTGTGACAAAGTTGTGGCATTTTTTTCATTGTTTTTTCTACAGGCATGTTGAAAGTAAGGCTTTTGCCGAGCTTAGCTTGGTTGACACGTTCGAGCAAGGATTAACATGAAACACGGAACTTATGGGCGAACATATGGTGTGAACAGTGGCTACCACTGATCCACCAAGCTAAGCGATGGGGCCGCAAACGGACATCCTGCGGCAGCAAAGACCCGTGTCTCGAGAGGAGCGTGTAACGTTCAATGTGTTGTTGACCGACGGTTGCAGCAACATGTGCTGATCAAGACGCGTACGGGTGTGTGCCACTTTGATCGGTGCTTGACATCGCCTTCTAAGTGCGTTGCGCTTCAATCCATTTGCAAGGACTGATGTGCGAGCCGTCGCTAAAACCAGACACCGCGGTGCCCCCCCCCCCGCCCTATACCTCCACAGACACCTCCGCTGTATCGCCAGCCCGCAGACCGCGACTACCGTAACGGGGTCGGCGGCGGCGAGCGCGTTTTCGGCAGGATGGAGGCCGAGCGCATGTACCAGGAGAGGGAGCGGGCGTACCGGAGAGACCACCCGGGGCACCCGCACGAGCCGCCGCCGCCGCCGATGTACCAGGAGATGCGGGATCGCGAGGAGCGCTTCTACGCGTCGCCGCGGCGACCGTACCCTCACCCGGACGTGGCCTACCACGACGCGGGTTACCTCCGGAGGCGTCCCGGCGCCGTCGGCGTGTACCACGAGCAGCGCCCCCCGGTCGCCGCCGCACGCGGAGGCGGGGGCGGTTACGTGCACGCGAACCGCGCGCTGGGCCCCGAGGACTCGTCGCACATGTATTACGACCCTGAGCTGGAGGCGCCGTCGTACCCGCAGTACGCCGCCGCCGCCGCTGGGCGGGGGCGTGGAGTTCCGCCGGAGGAGGCCGCGGCGGCGGCAGCAGCGGCGTCCGCGGGGATGGCGGGCCCGCCGCCCCTGTACAAGCCGCCGGTGAGGCGGGGGCCGGAGGTGGGGTTATCGCAGCCGTCAGAGGGCGGTGCTTGCCACCACAACGGCCATCACCCTCGAGGCGGCGGTAGCGGTGGCGGCGGCAGCCACCATTCCTCCGCACCGACCGACGGCAGCCCCCGCGATCACGGCCGGAGGAGGGTCGGCGCGTCACCCTCGCGGGCGCAGTCCCTCCGCGGCGACACGCGACCCCGCGGGGGCTCCGTGGCATCGCTACCGCCCTCGGCCTCCGGACCTACGGTCGTCACCAATGGCGCCGGCGGTGATGGTCGCCTCGAGGATGACGGCACCAGCTCGACCACGTCCCGGCCGGACGACCCGAAGTGGCGCTCATCGGAAGAGCGCGGCGACGGCGGCGGCGGCGGCGGCGGGGGTCGCCACCCGGCCGCCTCCGGCGGCGCGAGGCCGCGGATGGACTCTCTCGCCGGGGAGGACTGCGACGTAGGGAAGCCGTTCTGCGAGGTGGTGCGCGACGCGACGGGGCTGACGCGGCTGTTCATCCCGGAGACGCCCCCCGTGGTGCCGCGGCGGCCTCCCAGCAAGGGTAACAAGCGGGAAACGCTGGGGGACATCGCCCTCCGCATCCCGGTGACGGTGATGCGGCCCTACTTCAACTACCCGCTCAGGACGGCGGCGGAGGTGAGAAAACGGATGGTGCTGCTTTCTACACAGTGTGCTTGCTTTCCTCGACTCCGTTTGTGAGGTGCGTGAGGTGCATGGGGTTCTATTCTTTCGAAGCTCCCTTATGGAGCGCCTTCTGGGCGACATGTGTTTGGCGCCATCGTAAGGTCGATCGTCGTTGGTCGATGCCATTCTTGACCGGCCTGTTTCGCCGCCGCCGCCGCCGCCACTTATTTTTTTGGGTACAGATGAACGTGCATGTGTTCCGTGGTATGTATGTATGCATGCGCAGCCTTGATGAATATCTACGTCTTGTGCGTCGGGATATGGGACACTCTCCCTCCGGCTTTTCTCTCCTTCCTTTTCTCAGGCGATGAACATCTCGGTGACGACCCTCAAGCGCCTGTGTCGCCGCCATGGGGTGAAGCGGTGGCCGCACCGGCAGATCAGCGGGATCAACCGAGCCATGGCCCACCTAGAGTTCCAGCAGGACCAGGCGGGGCGCCGAAATTCTGAGATCACCATTCGCAACAACCAGGTGTCCGAGCAGATGCAGGAACTCCTACGCCGACGACAAGTCATGATCGAGGTACGGTGTGTGCCGGTTCAACCACGTGCCGGCATCATATGCACCGCCTTTTTTTTGTTCTCGGTAACGAGTTGTTGGGTTGGATCGTCCAGGGATGATCTGTGTCGGTTGTTTCGCTTTTTTTTTTTTTGCCGCTCTGTTTTGGCTAAGTGAATGTGCGCCATTAGAATATCGAGCAAATTCTAGTGCTCGCTTTGATCATCCCGGAGTGTGACGCCTGCCCGATTGAGAGTGAGCCGCCGGGTGTTCAATCAGTTTCGAGAAGTAACCCAACTTCGAAAAACGGTCTTCGTGCAGAGGGGATCGGGGACAAGTTACCGTGCAGTTTGTTGCAGGCTGGGCGGCCGTTCTGTCCTCGACCTTGACGATGCAGCTTTTGTCTGAAAAGCCGTGATTTTTTGCGCGACCCGTTCCTTGTCGACCACGGTCCTCTCGGGATGTCCTCTGTCCTCTGTGGCGTCTGTTATGATTGTTCCCATTCCCTGGTCCCGTTGGAAGCCCAGCTGGCCACCAAAGGCGCAACTGTTGACTTGGCCGCAGGCCGTCGTGCCCTCACCTCCCTCTGCCCCACCCGCCCCTTGCCGGCGCTCCGAAACCTCTGCTGCAGCACGCTTTCGAGAGCGACGACGGAGGCTCAAGGCAGCAGTGGAAGTCCTCCGATAGCGAAGACGAGGGCGGCGGCGGCGGGGGGGGTGGTGACCCGGAGAGCTTCTCGGACACCAACCCCGACCACCATCACGCCTTCGCACCCAAGCGTCGCGCCACCAAGGAGGCGGCTGCTATCGGCAACGGGAACACGTGGGCAAGAGGAGGCGACGACAACCACAACACGGACGCCGTGGCTCCCGCCTACAACCGCCCGACCGCTGACCTGGACACTCGGGGGGCCGTGCACGGAGATAGAGGTCGCCCGAGGCCCCGATCTCCGGATGATTCCCCCACGGGCAGACCCGAGGACGAGGAGTACGCTTTATCCCCGCGCGGAAGGGCGCCGGCGAATCCGCCGATGCAGTCGCGCCGCCGCCTTCTGCCGCCGACTCGACCGAGCCGGCCGACGCCTCCCGGCCCCCCGCTGCCGTCGAGGGGCGGCGAGGAGGCCACGCTGGAGGTGAACCAGCGGGAGCAGCTCCCGCTGGCGCAGATGGCGGCCCAACACCAGCAGCAGCAGCAGCAGCAGGCATGTAGCAGCGGCGAGGAGGAGGAGGAGGAGGAGGAGGGCGGGAGCAGGAGGAGCAGGAGAGTGAGGAAAGAAGGGACCGATAACGGTGGTGGTGACGAGATCGGAGAGGAGGAGGAGGAGGAGGAGGAGGGCGGCGACGTCGGGGCGGAGCGGCGGTCCTCTCGGCGCCGGTCGGACTCTTCGTACCGTTCCCCTTCGAAGCAGCAGCAGGCGCCCAAGCGCAAGCAGGGCTACCAGTCCGGCGACCGGCCTCCTCCCGCGGCGGAGAGCGCCGCGTCCCCGTCCTCCTCCTCCTCCTCCTCCTCCTCCCGTGACAGCAAGCGCGCGAGGCACCAAGCACCCGCCGCCGCCGCCGCCACAGCGGAGCAGCAGCAGCAGCAGCAGCGCAAGTCCCCGGTCAGCAAGCCGACATCGCCGCTGACGTGTGGGCCGAGGCTGTCTCCGGGGCAATCTACCCCCGGTGGCGGAGGCGGAAAGGGTAAGGCCTCCTCGAAACCCCCTTCCTCCTCGCTCCCCGAGCTCCCGGTGTTCAACCACGGTGACGGTCCCCAAGAGGGGTGGGGGGCGCCCACCGCCCCGACCCCGTCGACCGCGCAGGAGGCGTGATTTTTTGGTCGGAGGGAAGGGGGGGCGACGGGGAGTTAAAAACGGGCGAGTTTTGTCCTGCCCGCGGTACCCGTGCGCAGCTTGTGTAGACCATGTAGGTAATTAGTTGCGTTGTGTGTTGTATGTGCGCGTGTGTGTGAGCAGTTTTATTTTTGTACGGGGAGGAGCCCTCCGCTCTGGTCCGGGCGTCTTTGCGGTCTGTCTCGGGGCGGGCGTTTTCTACCGCTGCTGTGCCTGTTAGGCTGCGCCGGATGCGGCTGATGGCCCTCAGGTTGGCGGCGGGGGCGCGGGGGCGTACGAGATGGCAGGTGTCCACTCGCCAACTTACTTTGCCTGCTTCGAAGACCCTTTGTATTTTTGTCATTTTCGAGCGACGTTTTTTTTTGGGCCAACATGCCCTCCTGCCTTCATTTGGTCGTTGTCGGGGGGTGCATCGCAGGGGCCAATCCCTCTCCGAGAGCTTATGTACCAAGCGCCCCCGAACCAATAGTGGGGCTGACTTTTGGCACGTTTTTTTGAAATTGTGGGCCACAGCGAAATCAGGCGGGCGATAGCCTTCGCCTGTGCTTGCCTTTGTTGGGATCTTTCCGGCGTTTTTGTGTGTCAAGATGACGCCAGGAAACGCTCGGGATTCGTGATTTGTTGAGCAACGTCGATATTGGCCCACCTGGCTGTGCTTTCGTTTTCGGGATGAAAAATGGGGTTTTAAGAGGGGCGAACTGCTGTAGTGTCGGTCGTATGTGTCCAGTGGTGTAAAAGGGACGTTCGGTAGTGTCGCCTCCATTTACTACATAAAAGAGCCAACAATAGTGAAGTCAGCGCCGTTGCGTATGCCATGTGTTTGTATGTATGCATATGTTTGCGTCGTGGTGCTCAGTGCATGCTGCTTCTGGTGTGACCCCGCGTGCTGTACGGTGTCGAGGAAGGGCGAATGAACTCTGGCGCTGTCGTCTCTTGTTTTAGTTTTTTCGCCCCTGTTGGTACCTGGCGGCGTGCCTCTCGTCCAGTCCACACGAGGACCAACGAATGAATGAATGAATTACTTTTGCTTTTTTTTTGCTGGCAAGGGGGGCGAGCGCGCTGCCTTTGATATTTTAAGGAAGTTCACGCGTGGGAGGCAAGCACGCCATTATTTTTATGTTTGAACGGAGTTCACGCGGGAGCGAATCCATGGTCGATGCACGACGACCACCATTGTTCCCGTCCCCCTTCTTGATGTGAACAGAGAGAATTTTCGGGCGACGGTTTGGGTTGTGTGCTGTCGTAGTTCGCGAGCGCCCCCAGCCCGTAGAGATGGACGGAGATAAATCGCTCCGAGCGGGGGAACTCGCGAGAGTGAGTCCAGGAGAAAGCGGCGCATCATGTCTGGACATGCTGCCGCTCGCTCTCTTCCCCGTTTTCGTGGCGTGTCCACCAAACCTTGCTCTTGCCAGCAGGTCAAGCCAGCAGTGCGTTCGGCCATTGATTGGCACGCGCGCTTGTGATCTGGCATGTATTGGGTACGGAGTTTGGGCAAGGGTGTTTGTGTCCATCTTTCGCGTGGTAGCTCGAACTGGTGTTGTCTAGTGATGTATGCCGAGGATTGGGCTGTAGTCTGTAGTCTACTCGAGTCGGGCGTTTTTTTACTGGAAACCAAAGCGGTAGAGATTTTTTGTAGCCAAACCGTGGCAGTGATGTGGAGGGGGTACGGTCCATTGTTCCCGTCACTCCTGTGCACCAAGCCGCACGTGTAAGAGGTTATGTAGAGAGACATACTTAAACACCACGTTTTCAATTTTACAATACGCGGGCTGTGTCTTTCACGAACCCAAGTTTATATGGAAGGGAGTGGCGAGGGAAACAAACAGTACTAACCTCACAATACGATACAAAAGGTACCGGGTGATGGGGAAGGATGGATCTTGTTTTTTTTCATGTTTGTTAGACGGTCACGGAGGTGGTGGTAGTTTAGTCTTCCTGTCGTTGCCCGCGAAAGGACGGCGGAGTCGAAAGAGAGAGAGTTGTACACCCGACCCAGCCTTCGAACGCGACGAGACACGTAACAATTGGACAACTTTGTTAAAAGAGGCCCGGTTTACGTTTTTTTTTTGTTGAACGATTAATGTTGAGCGTACGGCTAACAAAAGACGTTGACAGACACCGCAACGCGCGTTCCCATGGTGAACGAGTTGTAGTTGACTTGTTAGCACGCGACTTGACGGAGGGTTTCTCGCCCCCGTACGTTGTTGGTCGCTGGGCCACCAGAGATTTTCCGGAGGTAGCACGAATGCTGAAATAATTGCTGTCCGTCTTTCCGGCACCATTTAATTCCCGTGTGCGATGACGTGCGACAAGTGTCTCTTCAACCCTCACTATAGAGAGCTCAACACATAGTCTACTATACCACCTTCCTCCGGGAGTGTTTGTCCTCCTGGTGTCATCTGTTCTTTCCTTCTTGAAAAAAGTGACATGCATGTAGGAAGCTAATCTATCGAATCCAGCCGACGGCGTTTAACCCTGTGGAGCGTCGAAATCCCGGTGGAGATAGCGCTGCTGCCGCCCTGTTCGGCCTCATCATCAGTACAAAACTGGGTACTGCAGCGATGACATGTTTCTCTGCGCGCTCGTACAGTATGTATGTAGGTACGACCAAATTGAGAATCGAAGGCGCGGAGCGTCTTCCCTTCTGGCTCGAGGAACGAACCTCCCGCGCCCTTAGAGCTCGGTTGGTAGTCGTAAGTTGAATGCTGAGCGCGAGGGACACGTACATACATGCAAGCCCTCCGCGCCCCAACCTCCTATTACGGTGGCACATAGTTAATAGGAGCAATTTATAAGATATGCGTTTCGGAGTGTAACTTTCGCAATACGATGCGCAGCACAGCAGACAATAGCGCAAATTGACGACAGGGAGAAGGCGGTCGCGATGAAAAAACATTAAAAAAAAAAATCAAATTGCTTGAGTTATGGCTTGTCGTGTACCTGAGCAGAGATTCAAAATCGGAAAAAATGCCCAGCAACATGCGGCCAACATTGGTATCCCCACTTCTCGGCCTGCAACTCAACATTTTTAAGCGCCTGTCGGCATACAGTAGCGCAAAACGCTTCCATGACGAAGGCGGTCAATACGCAAGAAGATAGAACATGAATGCAGTTGACGTGTGGCAAGCTGCATCCGGGGTAAGACTTGTCGACAATTAAATATTTTTGATTTTTTTTTTTCAACAACTGCAGCAGCTGGAAGCAGGGACGCAACCCCCCGCGCACAGCAATCACACATGTGTGCTGTTGGAACATGGTACACCCAGTGCATGGGTGTAGCAATTGAACACAAGGCTGAAAAAAATCTCATCATGGTTCAACCTCGTCGCTGCCATCACCCCATTCTGCGCTTTCCTGCTGGATCTGCTCCCCTACCCCTTCCTCGACATCACCCACGGGCGACACATCATCTGTATCGTACCCGTCCGGCTTTTCGAGGCTGCCTATCGTACCAGAAAGCACTCCATCACGGTCCTTGACCCACTTATTCATCTCTCCAATGGCGTGGTCAACCAGCTTCGAACAATCGGCTGCCTTCCACCCCCCCTCCTGGCCTGGCCATTCCTTGTCCCCGTACCAACCTTTACGAATCTGCACCCACACCTCCCGCATCTTTCGCTTCAACTCAAAGTTAAGGCTGACGTACTGCTTACCATGCTGCCAAAAAAGCTCGATCGGTTGAAAGGACGGCATGTAGGGCGGCGTCCAAATCAACGCCCACCCCTTTTTCCTCATGAACGTCACCACCCGTTCCTCGAGCCTTTCAGGGTGACTGAGGTTGATGTACTCCCGAGTGGCCGTTGCTACCTCCGCTCTGCTTACACCGCCCTCCCTGTTCCCTGCAGGGAATGAAGAACCAGGCTCTGTCGGTACCTCGAAGTTGTACTCAACAACGCCCTGTTCGCCCTCCTTACGCCTAACCCTGATCGACTTGGCCCCAAACATACGCAACAGATCGACGTTGTGCTTCTTGGTGTTGGTTTCCGGCACTTTGACTTCCGCGTCAAATCCATGGTGGTATGAGGCGTTGTCAAGAACAAGAATCATCCGTTTGCCTTTGAACTCCGGGATCGCGTTGTACGCAGGGCTAAGGCGGTGTTCAAGCCACTCCATGAACATCGAGTCGGTCATTGCTGCGTGGTAATCGCCCTTTGCCAACTTAGCCTGCCACAGAAACTCTGCTGTCTCCTCATCTTCCATTTCCTTCTTGCCGCTACCCGTTTCCTTGAACCAGCCCTCTTCGATCGGTAACCCATCACAAAGCTTAGCCAACGGCCCCCACTTCGTGATTGCATGCACCATGATCATGCGCAAGCCCTTCCCCGTTGTGCGACCAATCCCATCCTGCACAACTCCATCCTCGTCCGAAGGAAAGTAAGAATAGGGGGAACCATGAGCCTGGTGGACAAAACTCTCATCCATGTACACGATCACTGCTAACCCAGCATCCTCTGCCCTCTTTGCCATGTCCATCTCAACAAGAAACCGACGAATGCGAGCAAGTCTTTCGGCGTTTAACGGCGGCGTTTTGATCCTGCCTCTACGACGCTTGTAGCCGAGCCTACTCAGCAGCCCTCCTGCCGAACGGTTGGACGGCTGCTCCATGTTGCAAGTCCTGTGCATCCATTCTGCCACCGTGCGGCGAAAGACTTGACGACCGGCCTTGTGCTCGTCATTGATGAACTCGCGAAGTTGATCTTCTTGTACTTCGGTGAGGCGGCGTCGCCCATCATCCTTCTTTGCCGTCTTGCCTCTCCCCACGGCGGTGGTCTCGTACAACTGGCGGTGATCCCACCAGTGGTTGTTGATGCGTCTGACCTTGTCGTGGCCGATCTTGAAAGTGCGCGCAACCTGCCAGCATAGAGAGGACCAGAGAAGAGAAAATATTGCAACATCGTTTATGAATAAGGTCAGTTCACTTGGACATTGCACAGAGAGACATCGCACATGCAAGCCTGCTCAGGTGCTGTAAAGTACTGCTGTAAAGAACTGCTGTACAACAGTACAATGTATTCCTGCTGAATACTTGTGTGACGTAGACAGGTGAGTCAACCGTGTAACGAACGGCAAAGGCTCGCGCCCGACATACATTGTAAATGGAACGAAAACACACACACCACACATGAACATCTGCTGTTGGCAGCAAAAATAGGGTGTACAGCACATACTCCGGAGTATAGATTCAAAAACCAACCGTTACCCCTCTTTGATCAAGATGAATATTTAAAAAAGACATCGGCCTGCTGCTGTGCCACACCATCCGACCTTCACTGCTGTGTACTGACCTGCAACACCGCCTCGTTCTCAGAGCAACCTTCCTTGCGGAGGTCGAAGAGTAGCATGAGGACCATCCTTGACTGCAACTGGGTCCAGACCTCGCCCTTCTTCGGCTTCACCTCGTGCACAGATGTGTCCATGTAGTCCAGGCCCTGAGCAACCTTCTCCGCCGCAGCAGCAGCTGCTGCTTGGACGCGCTCAACCTCCTGCTGCTCACGCTTTTCCCGCTGTGCAGCGGCGCGCGCCATTTCTTGCTCCTTCTTGGCGAACGCAGCCTCCTTCGCTCTGAGCGCTTGCTCCCTCTGCGCCATCTCTGCTCTGTCCGCCGCGAGCGCTGCACGTTGCTGCTCGAGCTCAGCTTGGAGTCTCTCCTGGGCCAACGGACCTCTCGCTGCTGCTGTTTTGGCTCTCTTGTCCGACTTGGAAGGGCGTCCAACTACACCACCAGTTGGCTGCCTCCTGCCCTTCGGCTTCGCCATCGGCCGATAGCTGAGAGGCCCCTCTTTGAGCGTGCAGTACTCGACAACGGCTGCGTTGTGTCCAACGCTGGTCTGATGTGCGCGTGGGCGAAATCATAGGGTTTCCAAAAAGTTCTACATGCATGGCTAATTCGCATCCGTTCTGTTTTTTTTTTCAGGCCCGCACAAAAAGTAGTGAAAAAGTACCCTATATTCGCCGGCAACTGCTGTACCTTATGGTTGTCTGATGAGAGCAAGACCCGGCTCATTTGAAAGCTGTGGTTTCCGTGTTTCATTTGATGTGTGGTAGGTCTGCTAACCGTGCTGTAGATTTCGTATAAAGCCTCTGGGCAGTAGTGCTTGTTTCCAGCTGTCCAAGAATATTTTTTTACTGACTGCTTGATTGTTGAGAGAAAAAAATACTACTACTGCCGCCAAAAAAAGCAAAAGATTGCTCCCACTAATTATGTGCCACCGTAATAAGGTGTGTTGCCCGCTCCCACCCAAAAACTGATAGTTTCCATTGAACTTGAGAGTTCGAAACGATTTTGTCCAGACATCAGAAATAACGACAGTTATTAATAGTACCTGTTCATTCCTCACACAGAGAAAACAAGAACCAACCCCAGACGGTTGAGAGGTGGTTCGATAGCACCGCATAATGACGTAGTCTAGAGCGCTTTTGTCGCAGGTTGAGCAATCGTTTTGTTCTTACTCTTCCTGTGGAGGACGTTGTTGTCGCAAAATCAAGCCACCTGCAAATAGAAACACTCCGCATGCATGTAGAATATGTATGTACTCGCCGTACCAGGCGTAGGTTCAGTTGTTTTATTCGTTGGGTGTTCTTGCTGCAGTCAGTGCATCTCTTAGGCAGTGACTGCATGTTGGCATATAGAAAGGGGCTGCAACCTGTAGGTTGAAGATCGATACCAGGAGTGTCCAAGGACTCCGGTGCCGTCGGTGGGTAGCCTTACTCAGTGGAGACGTTGGGTGTTTTCGGCCGTTCTTTTTGGTTGGACCCAATTTTGCTAGGTTGTTATGATTGCGCCGATTCGATGTCTACTTGCTTGTCTACGCAGCCCCCGCACGCCGGCATCGGGGTGGATGTATTCAGCCTGAAAAGAAACAATTTATCATCGAGGCAAGGGTTTGACGAATATTGCACGCCCCAATTCATCGGAATACATGACCCCGCGCGCTTGTTTTGTTTCTCACAGCCAGCCGTGTTTCGTCTATCGTAGTCTAAAATCATCAAAACGAAATTATATTCTGTGCGTACTGTGAAGACAACAACAACAACTGTAGAAATGCCCGTAGATAGATAACGTCCCAAGATGAAATCCGCGATGGGATCAGAGTATTACAAAAAAACCTCAATAATTCCACACCCGGGTCCTTTTCCACCAAAAGCAGGCACCTCATCGCGACACCACTGCAAAAGAGCGCATCATCCTCGGCAGACATATGGAGATGGTACCCGTCATGAAGGGATCTCCATCCACCCCGCTGCGAAAGACAACACGTTTTCTGTCTCGAAATGATGGTGCCATTCGTTCCTGCGAGAACCTCACCACACACCACACGCGAACACCTGACGGGGTTTTGCAACCAATTTGCGCCGAGATTTGAGTGCTACACGAAACTTGGAGCGTTACAGCGGTGAGTAGGACATGCATCACGCAGGTTTCTCCAAGTCTCAACTGCTACGACGAACAAAAACTAATATCAACCACGGCCACTTCCGACACCGCCACCCCCCCACAACAACCATGTAGCTAGACTAAACGCACCTATACCAACGCCGCCGCCGCCGCCGCCGCCGCCCCCAACACCAACACAAACAACAGCATCATCATCATCAACAACAACAACAACGACAACAACGACAGCTGTTTAGAAGCACGATGGCCGCTAGACTACTATTCTGCGGCTGACTACGTAGTGGTCTAGTGGTCATCGTGCTCTTATCAACAACAACTACAACAACAACAACAACAACAACAACAACAACAACAACAACAACAACAACAACAACAACCGCATCAGACTCAGAGAGCTACAACATTCCCCCCGTCCACTCCCTCCAGTCCGCGCCCCCCTTCTACTGCCGCCCTTCTGATCGCAGGACCAACAGCCTTCTGACACAGTCAGTCGTAAGGACCACTGGACGAACGGGTGATGGCTGCATCACGCTGCAAAGCTTACGCGCGCTTCTACGAAAGCACCGAGCGCCCGCTTTGAGGCTGTCGGTCTGGTGTGACCGGGAAAGTTCCCGTTCAACAACCGCAAAATTTTCTCTCTATGTAGCGAGGGGTGTCACCGACAGTGCATAGTCTACCCCTTACTTGTTTGCTGTGTCCCGTGTAAAATACAATGCCATTCACCCTTTGTTAAAACCACATTACTCTACGTGGTGAGGATTTCACCGAGCATGAAAATCGCCGCGCTTGGCGATGTTCCGTTCACGACCAAGTCATGGAACGTTGCCGGCCACATCTACCGCTCGTTCGCGTTTGCCCATAGGCAAGGACAGTATGGCGAACATCTATCTACTACCTGCACCCGTCAAGAAGATATGGACACATCCTCTCACGAGTTCTTTTTTAGCATCTCGTCGGAATCTACCTTTCTCTCGTGCTTGCGAGGCTGAGGACCAGCACGGTTCTGACTCTGTTCGCTACTGGGCTGGGGCCAGACACACTTACTGTTGGGATGTAAACCTGTGTAGTGTCAAGTGCTTTCCGACACATTACATGCCATCCCCTGTATTAGACTACGGTTTCGGCGGTTGGTTGTGAGCTTGTTTCCTACGACGGTGCCCACCTCCGTTTGTTCGGAATTTTTATCCTACCTACCTCTACTTGCCATCGCATTTGCCGGAGGCCAAAGAATGCCAACATTATACCTTGGTTCTTGACGGTTAGCCGTCGCAAAGATCACACCTACCCCCGCACTTTGTGCCGAAGCGATGGCGGTCGGAGGGAACGCTTCACGCGAAACATGTGCGTCATTAGAAGAAGAGCCATCTACCCACTGTAAAAGGCGTCAAGCGGTCGCCTTGGTTAGCGCAAACAAAACTCTATCCATCCGAGGTGCATCCTTTACAAGAACCCTCAACTCCTCAAGCGCGCCAAACACAAGGGACATAATACAATACGATTCGTTTTTCGCCAAGTGGGCGGGGAATGATTCATCATTGGCGTTTTTGTCGCCACCAGCGCTAACTACCACCCCAACCGCTAGAGAACGGTCTATCTCTTATACTTCTTTCTCCCACTCAGATCGCTCTTCTCCTCGAAGCGCCGGGCTAAGCACCCCGTGGCAAGGATTTACCTGAGCTAGGATGGAGAGTCTATCCACCGCTTCACGTTGGCCGTGGCCGAAACAAGATCGGCGTTCAGGTTAACCGCCAGCCCCCCACCAGTGATCCACGGCGCCCCCAGCAAGGCCTGCGCCGGGCTGCGATCATCAGGCCTCTTCCTCAGGCAGTCTGCCACGAAACTGCAGAAGTTCGCCGGGAAAGACGAGGGATCTAGCTCGGGCGCGGGGGCGTCTACTATTGTCTGGACGAGGTCGATGGCCGTAGTTTCGTCCTGCGTTTTATTGTGTGTCAAGCAAGCAATTGTTTCAGAACCGTGAGCGTTACCGTATCCATCCGCGCGAGAATACCGGGCGACAACGAGTAGCAAAGCGTTGAAGAACGTACGTTCCTAGACGACCTCTTCTTTCCCACCGAATTTTGGTGTTTGGTCGGCACGAGACAAAGTAGAAACAAGGTGTCCCTTTTTACCTTTTTCGCTTCTCAGCCCCCCAAAAATTGTACCACATATCACTGCTTGTCGTTCTGACGACAAGTCTTTCTCCTCACGACATATATTCTGTCCATGGACGACCCCCCCCCACCCGCCCTCCCGAAGATTTTCCATCGGTGATCAGTCCCGTGGGACTATTGTTCCGTCCTCTCGAGGAGGCGTAGTGCATGGTCGAACAACTAAGGCACACCCAACATGAGTACACCCACCCCCAACGTTGGCCTATGTACGCCAGGTAGTTCGTGGCTCAGCACGCAGAAGCATGTGAATTACATCCTGCTTGCCGGATTCTCAAAGAGCGTGAAAGCCTTTCCTCACAGGAAACGGTACGGAGGGGGTGGGTGGGAGGGTGGGATCACCCGAAGGGTGATGGCCGTAGAGTTCAACGGGGAACGGAAGTGCTTGGGCGGTATCCTTCTTGATGGTACAAACAAGCAGTGCCAGAACGAGCTCCACCGCACTTGAAGGGCAGCACTCGCTTGCTTCCAGCGAGCGTGGCTCGGAATATTTGTACCGGTCATACATGCATAGGACTTGTGCGGCCAAATCGGACGATCTGGATGGAAAGAACGATAGCAGCGGTACATCGGTATGATTCACGATATTCCTGCTGCGCTTCAGCTTCGTTCAGAGAGCAAAGAACGACGAGTGTGTGTGTAATAGCGGGAGGAATAAGAGAGGAGAATGAGAAGAAAAACCCCTCGTGATGGGAGGAAAACCCTTGGCCAAACAAATCACAAAGCACCCAAATCAGGGTAGACGGCGGCAGGAGCCGTTCAGAAGCTCGCGAGTTGGTGTTGTGGCGTGGGCAAAGAAACCAGATTGTACCTCCACCGATGCACATTGCGCGTCCAAGTCGACGTAAAGACAACCACTCGAAGTCGAAAGCGTTTCTAATAGGGGGTTTGATTGGCGTGTCGTCTCTACAGTTGTGGCACTTACCCTGTACGGGAATTCCCCGGTGGCGCATTCCATGAGCACGAGCCCCAGGCTCCACACGTCGGAGCTGTAGCTGTACCTCTCGTTCTTCATCCTCTCCGGGGACATGTACTTGAACGTGCCCACAAAGGTTCCGCACATAGCGAAGCTGCTCTGTAGTCCGGCTGATGTCCCGAAATCAGTCACCTAGGTTGTGGGTGCATGTGTTGTTGTTGGTGGTGGTGTACTGGTGTCGGTGATACTGTTATAGCACCGGGTATACTTTATCAGGGAATCGACGGCGATCTTAATGTTTGTTCATAAGGGTTTTTCTTGAAGTAAAAATTAACGACGGATGGTGCACCACAGATAGATTCAGGTGAACGTAGTACCCGATGTGGAAGAGTAATCTTATACCCAGCTCATTCTCCTTCTTGCCTGCAGAGGTATCATCATCGAGCACAAGGTTTTGACAACTCCGCCGACAGTCTTTAGTCGCTCTGCGGGCTGCTGCAGGTTCGCTGCCGCACCGTTGTGGGCGGGGTTGTGCTTTTGACCCTCCTCGACGTTGTTTAACCTTGACGACCCTGAAACTGTCCACGTCGACAACCCTCTGACTGTTCACGTTGACAACCCCCTGCCTGTTCACCTTGACAACCCCCTGACTGTTGATGAGCAGGTTGCTTGGCTTGATGTCTCGATGGACGATGCGCTTTTCCCGCTTCAGGTAGTCCAGCGCCAGCAGCACTTGATACGCCACGCTCGACAGGGCCCGCTCGGGGACAGCGCCCACCTAGACACAGAGTTAAGGCGTTCGAACGAAGCAAACGGTGTCACATTACCATCACACAGAGTTGAGTCGTTTTATCCTGTAGCACATGACGTCGCAGGAGTCATGACACGGTCGGGGGCAGCAAAATATCAAAAATGAGCTCCAGAATTTCCCTTGTCACCAAGCTTGTTTCCGGTATTGATGCTCACTTGTGCATCTACAATAGCCAGTCGATTGCTTGTCGCGCCGTACCTTCGCAATGTTGTACCAGCGTCCATTCTACACATTTCCTACAGGTGCGTGGGAGTACGTCACTGACCAGTAGACTAGACTATATATCATCACCAGCAGGGAAACCGGTGAGCAAGACACGTTGTGACATGTTCACCTGCCGCAGGACGTTCAAGAGCGATCCCCCGTCCATGTATTCCGTGATGATTGTCACGGCTCCCTCGCGATAGAAGGCCCCCAGAAACTGGATCACGCTCCATTCACAGAAAGGAGTGATGCACCAACCGAAGAGCGAAGAACACAACACATAATTATTTACTCCAGTATGGAACTCACTGAAGAGCCAAAATAGCAGAATTCAACGGGCACCTGAGTAACCATGTAGACCAAGGCGGACAGCTTTTTGCTGGACAATGTGCATTGATCGATGGCTCAGCAGCCGGAAGCAAAGGACCCAGCATCATCACATATTAAAGCAACAAAAATAACGAAAACGACCGAGCGTACGTGTACCCAAGAAACCGATGGACGCGAAGAAGGCAAGCGCCGCGAAAGCAATCGTTCTCGCGGCCCTATCCCCCGTGGATGATGGCAGCCCATGCAGAACGTAGAATATCCTCTTTCGGTTGAACGCCGGAGGAGGGTAATAGGCGGCTAGAGAAAGAATCTGATCGAGGAAAGTGGCACAATACGCGCTACCCTGCCAAAGCGTTTTGTTTGGCGTGTGGAGCCCGTCTCCATGGCGATTCTTCCTTCAACGGGCAGTCATTCTTTCTCCCCCACTTACTTGCTCTTCTATTTCTCTTGTGCTTTTTTTTCGCCTCTCCTTTTCCGCCTCTTCACAACCTCCTCCCCCATCGTTCGTAGTTTGGAAGGCCTGCCCTAGGCACTCACGTGGGGTGGCTGGCGTCGTAAAGCGCGTTGATCTCATTGATGAGCTGATGTCGCTTCCCTTTCTCGAACATGTTGATAACCTGCAGTATCGTCCACAACGACAACAACCCGCACGAGCAACGACTCAGAGACTTGAGAGAAAAACTGATGCAACCAGAAGATAAAAGGTCATGTAGTACGTACTCCAACGATTGACGTCAGACCGAAACCCGTCGACAGAAATCTTGCCGCGCTCTTGGTGTCGTTGCCGTGGCGAGGGTACATACATGTGTCCCGGCTAGAGGTTTGCCAAAGATTCCATACATGCGGTTTCTCTTGCAGTCCCATTCTTCGGCACGACGGGGGAAACGCAGATACCGGCGGGAGCGTGCCCCCTTGCGAAGGAACCGCTCACAACTGAGCAGTTCTGGGCTTGGGGGTGAAGTTGATCTCTTTCGTCAGTTCGTGGACTGTAATGTGGCCTTTTTTTGGTTCTGCCATGCTGATCGTGCGCGCTCCGTAATATGTGCAGCGGCGCACTCTTTGCTAAAATAGTGTTCGGCTTGTCTCGTTATGTGAGGCTATCGTCATGGCCGGCGCAAACCTAGTGGTGAACTCCCCCCCGGCCTAGAAGTGGTGTAACCACAACGAATCACGCGAGTGTCAGCAATCTTGATCGGCACCCTAGATTATTATTTATTGTGGTGGGAGCGATGGTCGCTGCGTCGATCTCCGAATCGACCTTCTTTGTCCTACCTGTCACCTCCGAAGGCTGACTGTTGGTTTGATTATGCACCGTTTGTGTTTCTGTTGTTTTGCCTCGGTCCTCTTGAAGTCCCGTTGTGTTTCTCATATCATGCACTTGCCCTTCTTGGGTAGTTCTTAGACTTGCGACCACGGCATGAGTCCGCGTTGGTTGAACCGGTACGGATGTTTGAAGGTTCTGAGCAGAGATTGGAACGGCCAGAAATGAGGAAATGGCGGCGATGACAACACCACCACCACCAACAACAACAACAGCTACGGCGGAAGCAGCAGCAATTTTCAGCTGCTACAGGGCAAGAACCGCTGTTTTCGTGCCTTTTTAACATCGAGACCAAATCGGTTCTTCCTCTAGCCTTACCTTCAACGCCAGGGGCCTGTCGGTGCCGACGTGTCTCGCCCTCAAGACAACGCTGGAACACCCCCTCCCGATGACCTCCGCAATCTCGAGGTCCTCGTAGACCACCTAGAAAGTGCATTTTCGGTTGGCACGACGTCGCACGAAGCGAAAACCAAAGTCTAGTTCTGACGTGAATCTCGTGTTTTCAAAGCGATCTCTCGGGGGCGATCAAAAATGTACCCGCCGGATGCAAGAGATCCTAGAGGTCAAGTCGTGATCATTTCTAAGGTTGGGTGCAGGTCTGGGCTAGACCGCAAATCACTTTCTGATGAGAGGCCGATTTCACTATGATATCAAAGGGCTAGGCACGTGCCCGTCACTCTTGTGTTGGTCCGATGAGTCTGACTGCTTTCTTAGTTAGACTACTCACCCATTCCCAACGATATCTGGCACCCTATCCCAATCAGACATCTCAGTCGACACCACCATTTGCACCGTTCCGCCAACTTGAAGCTCCACATATTTCGCCAACACTCCCCCGTCTCAACTTCCTGCAGCCCCCAAATCTTAGGGTCAATACCGACTGCTCTGGACTAGGTTTCCGCGTGTCTTACCGAGAACTGGTGCTCCGCGCCATCTTGTGTCACCCCACTGGAATGAATCTCCAGCCCCCCCGTCCGAAATGCCTCGCCTATTGTCATGGCAGAGTCCAAGTAAGGTTGCGCGTGTGACCATCGCACGCAACATTCAAAGAAGGGTTTCCATGACGGAGAAGATAGAGAGTTAAGGATAGTGGTTCAAGGCACGAGGAGGGAGGAAAAGCAACATGAATGGAAACTCGAAACAAAAGAAGGGATACGAAAGAAATGGAGAACGAGGAGAGGGCGGGGGATCACATCATCAGCTGGGCTGCGGGGCGGAGAGAAGCAAGTGCAGAAACATGAGGTCGAGAGGTTCATTTTCTGAACGTGCTGATGTACCACCACGAAAGTTTCGTGTTTGATGGGTCGATTCTGGCCAGGTAACACCAAGTGCGTAAAGTCTGAAGAAAGACACCATTAAAGAGTGTCAGGGTGGCTCTAGGAGCAACTAGTCGCAGTCACTCGTCGATGGTCAAAGATAACGCCAGGCGTGATGGTGATGGACTATGTGCTCGGTTGCGTGTCGGCGCAGCAGCCATGGGTGACGGTTGAGAGTCCGCTTAGAAGACAGCTCGTGGTGTGCATGCGATCATCGAAGGCAGCACACAAAAACGACTGTAAGGATTGATCCCGATGAACTAGTCTAAGCCTTGAGTTCAGAATGTTGTCACAAGATGCATCTCGGCCAGACCGGACTACAACTCAAGACGGAATTGATGTGGTTGCGTTGAAGTCCTTGCCTCAAGGGTTCAATGCAATTTTCGTAACCCCAACCCTAAACCCAGTGCATCACTGCAGGAACAAGAGAACTGCGTTGGTCATGAACGAGTTGTGACTGAGTCGTGACCGCCATGGTCACGACCGGGTCATGAATTGGCCATGACTCGGTCATAGCCGAGTGATGGACCGAGTGATGACCGAAGTATGTCATGATCGAGGTCATGGCTCTATCTCGATTGCTGGGTCATGTCCATCATGATGACCGGGTCATGATCGGGTCAATGACCGAGCCATGACCCATGATCGGGTCATGACTCAGATATGATCGGTCCATGACTGAGTCATGACCCGATTAGTCATGACCCGATCATGGCCGAGTCATGATTCGAAAACCTAACAACGTCAAGGCTGCCGCCAGCGTAGCAGAATACCCTACGTAGAGGAAATGTGAGAGTAAAATAAAAATACCCTACTCGGGTCATGTTTTCTCATCTCCACATGTGCATACCCCCGCACACGCGCATACAATTCATCGATTTTTTGTCCCGCTGTGTACTTGAATAGAGACCAAATGTACTACAGTCTATTTACCGCAAAAAGATCAACAACGCGCCTTTTTTGCGCCGGGCCGCCGATAGCGCGGACAATGTTATGTAGTTACAGCAATACACGCACAGCAGTAGCAGTGGTTTGGCGGTTCGGGTCGTTGCTATACACGAATCTCCAAGACGTAAGCACTTTCACTCTGTGCGCTTTTCCCGGCCACAAGACTTGTACAGATCATTATTGCCGCACTCATTGCCGCACTGGTGAAGTAATTAGTCTACTACATTGAAGACTACCCACCGCGGTCGTCGGCGTGCGTGTGTAGATCAAAAGACGAATCGACCGCACCCGCGGTGTTGACTGAGAGTCCTGTACGCCCGGCAACTCGCTCCATCGCTTGACACCGTAGCTTCCCAGTGAGTTTTGAGAGATCTGATCGATTTGTAGCCTGCGCAAGATACGGGGTGTGCCCCTCCTGCCCTCTCACGCCCACGCCATGCTGAACAGACGAAAAGTAGGTGCGGAAAATCTCTCAGGAAGTTTGTTGATTTTCACCTCCCCCTCCGCGCTACAAGACCGGCGCGCCCTTCGTGGCTTGTTCCCTTAGAATCTCAGGTCCTAAGGCCCTGAATCTTTTCAGAAATGGCGGCGGTATAGATGGGACGACAAGGTAAAGCTCTCACGCGTGGCAGGTGGTCGACGAAAAGGCGCGAATGTTGCGGTGCGATTTCAGATCTACGGTCGATCAATCGGAGATTCAATAACGGACGGACGGGTAAAACGTAGATCTGCAACAAGATCGTGCTTTGTTCGGAGATCTTCATACCACAGCAACCCTCTACTTTGCCTTTTGCGTAGTGTGCCGGCTATGCGTCCTTCCTCCGCAACTGTGTCATACAGTGCCGTCAAAGATCAGCTGGTGGCTCTTTCACTGGAGATTGAGGTACGGAAGCGGGCGACTGGAGATCGTGCCGGTATCCGGCGATGTACAGCAACAGCATACGGGCGATGATGTACCGCAGTCTACTGGATTGCTGTAGTCTACACTGTCTAGATTGCAAGTCTTTTTTTTCTCCACGCTGCTATAGTCTATGCACAGCCAAGCCATGCTGAAGGAAGCCAAGAAAATAGCCACCCTTGTTCGAAAAAGGACCAAGTACCAACTATCTGCATGTACGCTCAAAGCGATATATATTCAAACCTATGAATGAATGTAGATTAGCAAGACCTCATGTACCCACACCCGTCTGCCCTCTGCTGCTTGCTTCTTGCCGCCGCGATTCAGGACTGCTCCCAAGCCGCCAAGCTCCTCCGTGAAGCACTCAATCGGGAACAAGTTAAAGCAAAAGAATTGCCGCAGGTGCCGTGTTATCACTGGCTCAAAAGCAACAGCTAGCTTTTTTTCCTGTGCTCGGCACAAAAATGATCAACATGTTACACCAAAAAAATGTTTTCTCATCGCCATTGCTGATGACTTTCCGTTGAGTATTTGAATGGGTAAGGTGTTCTGCCTCGAAGGCAGGTGGTCCTCGCTCAGGACCTACCACCACGCAGAGTGTGAGAAGGCCACAGCGCAGCAACATGTCTTGAAAACAGTCAACACAACAACACCTACAAGAACAGTCTATATTATATGCTGGAGGACAGAAAATATTGCAGGGTGGCCTGCAGGGCGCCGTTTAGTAGGGCGGGTGGGATGGTCTTTCTTTGTTCAATTTGCAAACGTTTGCCTTTGGGGCGGCGAGCGAGCGGACGTAGAGTTGGCATACTCTTTTCTACGTGGGCGGGTGCGGTTGGAACCTACCCCATGCCGTTACGGAGTCCATCTGATTGCCTCCCCAATACTTGAGCACATGAAGAAAGACTATTCTATTAGATTAGATGGTTTTTCGATTGGTTGAGGTTTCCTCCCCCCTCCAGCTGGTGACCCTACCCAACGTTCTATGTCCCTTGCATTCCCTTTCGTCACCAGCCCGGGCGTGTAGCCTGAACCTCAAAAATGCTCTGAATGCTAGCTCGCTCAGTCGGTGAACAGGCGGGCGGGAATGTCTCGAACTCGTCTTCGCCCGGTGCCGTTGCCCCGGCGTTGTATGCAGGGCAATAGTGCATGTTGTGGTCGGTAAATGGGCTAAAAAAAACCTCAGCCTCGCCCAAGAGGGTGAAGATCTCCGCCCCCATAGCCGGCTACAAACGCCAACGGGAGTCTCTACAATTATTTGGCAAGCTCGGAAACGAAGTTGAGAATTCAGGCTGAGGGTCGAGAAAACACAACGGGGAGTACAGGGCGCAGAAGCGGCAGCATCTCTATGTATCTATGTATCTATGTATCTATGTATCTACCTATGTATTTATTTTTCTATGGCGACTGATACTCCACGGTGCCGGTTAAGTACGCACGGAAATATCTCCTCCTCGGAGCCTGATTGTGACGTACGGCTGCGGCGGAACCAACCTTGAACAATAATTATGATGGACGAGCAGGAGGTCGGAGCACCCTTTCAGGATGAACTTGAGGCGGCAGAGGCCAAGGGCAAGGAAGCACTATCGCAACACCTTCAATTTGTCGATAAGGTAACGTTCTTGGTGAAGATAGCTCGAGCCCCTCAGGGGGTTGCCTGCCAGCACATGTGCTTTCAATGGCTTTACCCTCCTCGCGTTCCTTGTCTTATGGGACAACAACACTAGTTACCTGTGACGACAAGAATATATGTTTAGTGTTTGGACCTGTGAAGCCGCTACCAATGTTTTTGGGCATACTATCCTCACAATAGATTAGTTGTGGGAGGTTCCCACTGGAACCCTGATAGTTGCATTTCACCACGCGACGCCTCGTTACTGTGTATGGCGGAGCACTGGGTGGTGCAGTTGGCTTTTTCACAATCTTCTGATGTTTGTGCCATGGGTTCGAATCTCGGGGGAGTCACACGACGTGGGACTCTTTCTCACAAGATAGCCCACACATACAACATGGAGAGCGAAATACGTCGTGTGTGCGAATCAAAACTCCCGTGTGGCCTTCCTGGTGTCCGTGTGACTCCGACTGGTGCGTCGAAACGAAACAACAGGCGCAAAGACTGACGTGACGTCCAGAATTTCAATGGGACGATACACGAACACCGTACACTGTTCAGTTCAGATGGAGAAAGATATTACGAATGGCTGAGATACATACGCGCAATGACCGCTTTGTAACCACGCATTGTTGAGTAGAGAGGCGCGGACGTAGGCTATTGTATGGGTTGTTGCTGCGAACGACATGTCACTGAACGAAGAACGATATATAGGAAACCACCCCTTTGAGACCATGGGATGTTTCCGAGGGGACCATACTAAGCCTCCCCCGTCCTCCCCCGTTCTGTCATCACTAAGCACCTCTCCACAGCACATTAGCCATTTCTTTCCGAAGACGCACATACATGTTGCGTGATTGCGCGGACACCGTCGTGCCGCCAACATACTCTGCTCACACCTAACCTTGCCCGCGAGAAAAAGCCCCATTTGAGCGCCCGACGCCGGGACCGAAGAACAACACGCGTGTTGTTGTTTGCGCCAAACATGCCTGAATCCATCCTACCATTGTTTTACGATTGATTCTTCCGCGGCAGTTGCTGGAGCGCAAGCGAAGCCTGTCGGTACAGGCCACGGGTCTCCTAGAAAAGGTGATCGGCTCTTTTCTTCTTCTTCTCCTTCTCCCTCTTCTTCCTGAGCGGCAAAACTGTGTGAAGCACAGTCGTTGAATGTATGTCGCCCGCAACAACACCCGACTGGATTCTCAATACAACGTCCTTCGCGGG